AATAATCTCAGGGATTATAAGGGCCATTCCTTTAACTACCCTCTTTATCAGAATAATAAGAGAATAATAGTTCACCTGCCAGAAGCCAATCATTGTTTTAATAGAGTTGTAGACAGGGAATTCAGGAGGGCTGGTCAACCTTAATTGCTATAAAGCAGTGTTTCCCAAACTTCTCTCATGATAAGAATCACCTGGTGAAGTTGTTAAACTACATATTCCTGAATCCCAGCTATGAAGTGCTAAACTAGAATTTTTGGGAACATATGGGTAAAATTGTATACTTAACTTAGTACTCTGTCTTTAGAGCTCTAGTTAAGTATACATGGCTCTGTCTTTAGAGCACTAGTTAAGTATACAATTTTACCTATATGTTCCCAAATATGCTAGTTTAGCACTTCTTAGTTGGGATTCAGGAATCTGTATTTTTAACAACTCTACCAGGTGATTCTCCTCATGAGAGAAGTTTGGGAAACACTGCTCTAAAGGATCAGAGTTAATTATTAGATATTGGTAGTTCAAGAAGCCTCCACCTGTTAGTCCTAAATTCACTGATTTGCTTTTATTGGAAGGACACCTATGGAGCTGCATTGGAGTCAGAACAAAACAAAATGGTTTAAATGAAAGGATCCTGAATCTGGTTTATGGAAGGGACCCAATCCATCATTAACCTTTGGAAGAAGGTATGCTTGTATATTTCCAGAGAATTCTTCTAAACCCGTGTGGATTCCTGCTAGAAATATTAAACTGCAGCAGGGATCCAAGAAAGAAACTAGTCAGACTAACGAGGACCTCGCGCCTGGAGCCACACCATGCAGCCGCAGACAATCAATTGCACAGAGAGCAGAAACTCCAAGAAATCCACTGAGGATGACGAGCAGAAGGAGGATGAGCCGGACAACAAAGAGCCCGGAGTCCACCTGGGGCATGGTAAAAAGGATGATACAGACACCTGAGAATGTCTTTCTTGCCATGCTAGTAGTGATCAGCTGTGCAGTAATATTTCCTGGGGGAAATGGGGAAAATAGGGAAGTATTTTTGACTTATGTTCCTGTCTATTTATGGGTAAGAACCCTTATGTGGGCTGATCCCTGCCTAATGTAGTCATAAATAATACCAAACACCCTGGTTCATCCAGGAGGAACACAAGTGGGGCAAGAAAGTTTAATTATACAGGTGTTGCCACCCAGTTTTCCTTTTGTATGACATAAAATCAAATCACTGCTCCTGTGTGTGTAAAATTAAAGAGAGGTGACAAAACCAGTTTGGCTCAGTGGATAGAGAGTGTCAGCCTGCAGACTGAAAGGTCCCAGGTTCGATTCCAGTCAAGGGCATGTACCTTAGTTGCGGGCACATCCCCAGTGGGGGGTGTGCAGGAGGCAGCTGATCATGATTCTCTCTCATTGATGTTTCTAGCTCTCTATCCTATCCCTCTCCCTTCCTCTATATAAAAAATCAATAAAAAATATATTTAAAAAAAAATTAAAGAGAAGTTTCTGGCTTGCGTGGGTACCAAGGAAGTCGGGGACTATCACTACTTGCTTCTGACAGGAGTGCAGAAAATATAACTAGATCTTGTATATATAAATAGAAACTGACAGCCAGTTTGAAATTGAATCGTCATGGCTTAGAGCAAAGAATATCCTTACATGATATTATTCTACAATGTCATAATTTTTTATATTTTATAACAGCATATTGTACAATTATTCCAAAAAACTTATAAACTAATTGTTTGATTGGAAATAAAAAGGATATGAAAGGATTTAATCCCTTCCACTGTGTGGAAGGCCCCTTGGGAAGGCACTTTAGCATTCTATGTTGGCCCCTCTTGCCCTTTTTACCAAGAGGGACCCTTTTATTACAATCTAATTGCCCACAGCTGTTGCCTGAGTTTTCTGTTCATGCTGAGGTTGAAAACTCGTAGTGGCTGGTACCATGGATCTGTCTCTCGATCAATGGCCTCTCACTGGGCCCTCCCTGGAGAAGAAACCTGGGTTCCCCAAGATCTGTGATTAGTGCTGGGCCTTGCCAACAGCCGAGGTGGGATCCTGAGGCGTGGAGGCCACGGAGGCATAGACTACCAAGGAGACAGAAATGAACCTCACATTACCCTGGTTGGCCCCGGAGGATGGCTGGTTAGCCAAAGATGGGTAAGATTCCTCAAGGAAGGAACAACCTAAGACAGGCACAGTTGCAGAGGGGCCAGTAGGAGAGAACTTTGGGGTCAACAGGTGGGGCAAAGACCCTCACCCCCCGCAACCGCAAGGACCCTAGCCCCTTCTGAGGGAGGTCTCCTGCCCCATGGCTGCTTCACTTCCCACGTGCAGCTCAGATCGGGATCCAGTTAACAGACAGAGGCGTGGCCCAGCTCAGATTGGGATCCAGGTAACAGACAGAGACTTGACCGACAGCAGCTGCCCTATATCTAAATCCAGTCTAGCATTTGGAATGCTCAGGGACTACTCAAGAATGCAAACAATCCTTTCCACTAATATTATTAGGACAAACTAGGATTGTTATTAGAGTATTAAATTGGACAGTGAAATAGTAATCAAGTCTTCAGATTAATTTAATCAGCTAATTGAAATAAGTAAATATTTAGGAAGGTTTAATTGTCAAAAAGTTGTTTCTAAAGTATTAACTAAAATTTTTGATAGTTCATCTCATGGTAAAATTGCTTGACATGCAATGAAATAAAGTAGTCATATTTTTGTGCAAAAAAATAGTTATCAAGACAGCATTATAAAAATTTTTCAAAAGCTTCCTAATAATTAAATCAAAAAAGGGGGGATAGTGGAGTAATATTATGTAAGGAAAAATATCCTGAAAGTAAATTAAATATAGAAATTTTTTACTTTGAAAACTAATTTTTATTTGTAATGTAAACAGAAAATCACCCATGAAAAACACACATGGTATCAAAATAGGTCAAGGAAAAATCGTTTGGGTAAGGACAGAAAGGATTACAAGTCAAATTTGGGGGGGAAATTCCTTTATTAACTTTTGGTTAAGAATATGTTTGTGTATTTTCAGAAAACAACTCCAAAACCATGTGGATTAAAAGCAGTCCAGAGATGGAAAACGCTGATAGTGCCTTGCCATACTAACAGTCAGCAGCTGTACGTTGCTGCAGATTGCCCAGGACCAAACCAGAGAGGGTCAGACCTGCATTGCTACCATTTTCTATCATCTAGATATCATTGCTGACATGTATACATGGAGAATTGTTGGACATTGACTTTGGGACTAAAATATTTTATTCTTATATTTATTTCTAAAATCTGCAGATTTTTTAAAGAAAAGAAATGGGGGAGATGCCGGAAGCCAATCATTGCTTTAATAATAGAGAGCTGTGGATGGAATTCAGAGGGCTGGTTAACCTTAATTGCTATAAAGGGTCAGAGCTAATTACTAGATATTGGTAGTTGAATAATCCCCCACCTGTTAGTCCTAAATTCACTGATTGGCTTTTATTGGAGTTTATTGCCCAGGGGATACGGGTGTATCCTCTAATTTTAATCTTAATAAAAGGGTTGGAAAAGCCAGAGCAAGTAGTAGTTCTCCCACTGGACTTGGACTATCTCCTGGCCCCCATTTCCCTAATTAAATCTTTCTAAAGTCTCTTTTCATTTGTGTGCGCCTTCTCCAGAACCCAAACCCTGAACTGGACCCTGAAACATGCGAGACGTGAAAGGGGCTTCCACATTCACCCATACTATAATGGAAAATGCTAGAATCCTTGCTGAAACTGGTTTGGCTCAGTGGATGGAGCATTGGTCTGCGGACTGAGGTGTCTCGGGTTTGATTCCGGTCAAGGGCATATACCTTGGTTGCAGGCACATCCCCAGTAGGGGGTGTGCAGAGGCAGCTGATCAATGTTTCTCTCTCATCGATGTTTCTGTCTCTCTATCCCTCTCCCTTCCTCTCTGTAAAAAATCAATAAAATATATTTTTTTAAATGCTAGAATCCAGAAGAATGAGAAGAAACTGCTTCATAAGTTACTAAAGATAAGCTGTCTAAGACTTAGTGTGCTTTAGAAAGTTAGATTCATATCAGGTATGACCTAATAAGGAAATTCTTGTTACTTAGTTTTTTATATTTTTCGCCTTTTTTAAGAGAAATGTCCTTTCTAAATTAATGTAAATATTATGTTCAGGTGTTATAACAAAGTTCTTTTATTTTTAAAATAACTGTGGTGAAAGTGGTTTTTATCTGGATCTTGACTTAAAACTCTTATAAACTGTCATTCAATTACAGACCATATAACCTAAACACTAAGTAGCTAATGATAGATACATGCAAGCAAAGTACCTCCCCCCAAAACTATTCACTTAAGGGTTAAAACTGTATATGGAAACACATTAAAAATATTATGTTACAGACACAAATTTCCAGAACTAATTCCTAATGTTCGGCCCCAAACTCCATACATTATTCTTTTAAAAATAAAAAACAAATCTGGTCTTGTTAGTTTTCAAAATTAAACTGCATGTCTATATTAAAAACCCGGTGGTAATATTTCAATATCATCTTTTTTTCCCCAAAAAAACAGCATATAAAATAAAGTTCAACAAAATTAAGTGGTAAGTACTTAGATTAAATAATATCTAAAAGGTATGTTAAAGATGCAGAAAATAGAAAAGATATGTTATCATAACTTTTAAACATTATTTAATCTAGGTCATTACCTATTTGTATACATATCTTCATTTTATATCATATATGAATCTTAAAACATGTATATGTTCATCATATTATAAAGCAAGTTAAATGCATTGATACTTGTTTTTTAAAATAGTTCTATCAATCTATTTAATCAAGTATGGAACTATCATTAAGTTTGTGAATTAAGATTGTCAGCTTTAAGATTTGCTACAAATTGGGTGCACCTGCATATGAAGATTTTCTTAAAGATCATTTCCAACAATCTTATTTTTAAGACTATTGGAATTATTTCTAAATGTGGTAAGCTGGGCAAAATCAATACTGAACAACATACCTTTCAGATAATTTAAGGCTTTGGTGGAGAGGTTCTAATTTTTGACATGTCTCTAGGCTGTCAACAGATGTCGAAGGCAATGAGTCTGATTGCACCTTGTTGGCATCACATAAATTAGCATCGTTTCTAGGTAGAATCTTTCTGAATTTTCGTCCTAATTCCGTCCATAGGACATTCGTCAACATAACTTTGAGTTGCCTGTTACACACATAAATAATTAACACTAAACATTGTATAATACATGAATGCATCACAAATAATAACAAATGAAAACCTCCAGGAATTCTAAATTTCAGTTCTTGAAGCAATTAAATGGAATAGTAAACATCATAAGTAAAAAGTTTGCCTAACCACTCTCAAATATACATTGAAAAGTAAAGCCTATTTCACTTAAATTGGGATTGTCTTCAGAATTCTGTCTGTTATACTACAACTGTAGTCACACACCTTGTACAGCTGTTGGATTCCTGATAACCCATCTGTGTCTGTTCTCACTGTTAGTGGAACAACAATATACATCTGCACATATCATCACAGGGGCAACACTAAAATTTTTTTCTTTTAGCATTTGTTGATTTGGAAAACATTGCTAAAACTAAAGGTGCGATGGTAGATCATCTACGGTCTTAAGCCTATATAATGTTAAAATACAGATTTAATTTTACTTTATTTAAAATAGGTCAATTTAAAACATTTAATTTTATTGTACCTATAACAATTTCAAAAGTAAAACTGCACCCTAGCTGGTTTCTCAATGGTTAAGAGCGTCAGCCTGCGAACTGAAGGTTCCCGGGTTCAATTCTGATCAAGAGCACTTGCCATGGTTGCATGCAGTTCCAGCCTTTTGCCTCATTACATTTTGCCCATTAATCATTCAATAATCATTGAGCTGATAATACTAGAACCATGAAATATAGTTTTTACAGTAATGTAAAGAAGCTACCAGTAGACTTGAAACAATATCAAATGAGGAATGGCTGAAAGATTTGGAAAGATTTAATCATATTATTCTCCCTGGCACCAGTTTTAGGCACCAGTTTGTTTGTTTCTTTAACAAGCATGAATATTAAGAAATGGAAAGCAGCCGAAACCAGTTTGGCTCAGTGGTAGAGCGTCGGTCTGCGGACTGAAAGGTCCCAGGTTCGATTCCGGTCAAAGGCATGTACATTGGTTGTGGGCACATCCCTGGTAGGGAGTGTGCAAGAGGCAGCTGGTCGATGTTTCTCTCTCATCGACGTTTCTAGCTCTCTATCCCTCTCTCCTCCTAAAATATATTAAATAAAAAAGAAAAAGAAAAAGAAAAAGAAAAAGAAAGAAATGGAAAGCAAAATGCTCATATATTTGTGTTGTTGTTGTTGCTGTTAATCCTCACTCAAGGACATTTTTCCATTGATTTTTAGAGAATGGAAGGAAGACAGGGAGGGAGAGAGGGGGAGAGAAGAGGAGAGAGGGGGAGAGAGGGGGAGAGAAGGAGAGAGGGAGAAAGAGAAGAGAAGAGAAGAGAAGAGAAGAGAAGAGAAGAGAAGAGAAGAGAAGAGAAGAGAAGAGAAGAGAAGAGAAGAGAAGAGAAGAGAAGAGAAGAGAAGAGAAGAGAAGAGAAGAGAAGAGAAGATCAACTGGCTGCCTCCCACACATATCCTGATTGGGGCCAGAAATTGAACCTTCAACCCAGGTTTGCACCCCTGACTGGGAATCAAATCCCAGATCCTTCAGTGCATGGGCGGACGCTCTAACCACTAAAAACACTGGCCAGGGCAAGTGCTCATCTATATAAAACCCTAAGTGATCAGTTGACTGTTCAACCGGTCAACCATTTGACTGGTCGCTATGATGCACACTGACCACCAGGGGGCAGACGCTCAACACATGACCCTGGTGGTCAGTGCACTCCCACAGCAGCACTGCTCAGCTGACCCTGGGGCTTCAGACACTGGGCACGTGGCTGGCAAGTGAGTGCAGCTGCGGTGGCACGAGCCTCTCCTGCCTGTACACAGCAGGGCTGGGATAAGTGGGAGCAGCGCAGCACCCAGCCCAGCTTGGGGTCTTCCCCAGCCACCTGCCGCTTAGTGCAATACTATTATACCTCTCTTGGGGGATGTCGGGCTGCCAGTTTCGCCAGATCCCCACGGCAGTCCGACATCCCCAAGGGCCTGCAGGGATCAGGCAGAAACTGGCAACTCAACATCCCCTGTGGCATCCCAGATTGTGTGAGGATGCAGGCCAAGCTGAGAGAACCCACCAGTGCACAAATCCATGTATCAGGCCTCTAGTATATTTTAAAGACAAAACAGATCTCAATAAATCACTTGTTTGCAGCAGCCACTTGGGTCTATATATTCAGAGCATCTGGAAAGAGGGGGTTATCAGTCTTCAGGGGACCTCCATAAATGCACTGAAACTCCAAGCATTTTGAAATTTTAAAATATTAATCTTTAGAATTCTTATTAAGGAATAAAGAGATGAGTGTCATTTCTCTGAATGAATAAGAAGCATTCTTCTTTCAACAAAGACTTACTAAAGACCTGCTAGCAGAACAACTCTAGAATCTGAGATTCAGCAATGAACAAGATGGTTATAGTTGTATCTTAAGAGAGCTTACATTCCAGAGAACAATTACCCAATTAATTACTTAATTACAATTGTAATGAATGATATGAAGAAAAAAATACAGATGGCTGCCCTTGATCTGAACCACGTCAGGAAAGATTTTACTGAGAATATAGCTTTGAAGCTGAAACCTCCAAGAAGAAGAGGTACTGCCCAAAAGAAGAAGGTGGAAAATGGAGGGTTCTCTGAGAGGAGGAACAAAATGCAAGTGGCTCTCTGATATGAGTAATGTTTGCTTTAAGGAAATTACAGGACTTACCTGGGTCAAGTGCTTAGAGTGAAAAGGTATACAAGATAAGGATGGACAGTTAGGTGGGACCTGGTGAACGATATTACATATTTGAGACTTTACATCAACAACAGTAGAAACTTACTAGCTTTAACAAAAAAAAAAAAAAAATGAGATCATAAATGCATTTTTATTTTTATTTTTTTTTTTTCTTTTAATAGAATCTGAATTTATTTGCATTTTTTTATTTTTTATTTTTATTTTTTTTTTATTTTTTTTTTTTTAATTTTTTTTTTTTATTTTTTTTTTTTATTTTACATATTTTATTGATTTTTTTTTGCCCCCCTCCTTCCCTCCCATGTATCCCCTCCCTCCCCAGAGTTTTATGTCCATTGGTTGTACTTATATGCAGGTATACAAGTCCTTGGGTTGATTTATTGTCTCCCCCAGACCCTCCTCCCCTCCCCGTTGTAATTTGACAATCTGCTTGTTGCTTTACTGTCTCTATATCTATCTTTTGGTTCATCAGTTTATAATGATCTTTATTATCCACAAATGAGTGGGGTCATGTGGTGTTTCTCTTTCATTGATTGGCTTACATAAATGCATTTTTAAAAGAACACTTTGATTTTCTATGAAGAAAGGAAATGAGGGGCGGAGCTTGAAGATGGCGACCGAACAGTCGGACCTGTTCTGACTCTGGTCCCAGAACGGATAAAGGGGGCTTCTGAGTCGCTCAGGGAGTGTTATTTGGCAGCTAAGGGACAGCGGAGCTCTCAAGGAGGGTAAGGGAGGGTCCGCTGGACAGGATTTCCTGACCAAGCGTCCAGGACGGCCGCAGCAGCAGTGGCAGCGGCGGCAGCAGCGGCGGCGGCAGCAGAGGCAGCGGCGGAGGCAGCGAGCGGTGGGCTGCGGGCGTGGAGGAAGGGCTGCATTGTCTTGCCAGGAAGGAAAAAGCTTCTCTGAGGCGTGGAAAACGCACAGCCCGGAGGTCCATCGAGCAGCTGAGACTCCCAGAGCTGCGCAGACACGTGGATTCCGGGGAGATCTTCAGTCACCCACGGAAAGGTCAGAGTTTGCGGGGATAGCCTAAGGGATCTGGGTTCCGGGGCGGCCGAGCTCCGGCCCCGCCTCCACTACGGCAGCCGGGGAGCTCCAGCCCCGCCTCCGCTACGGCAGCCGGGGAGCTCCGGCCCCGCCTCTGCTACGGTAGCCGGGGAGCTCCAGCCCTGCCTCCACTGTAGACGGGTGCGCGAACTACCACCCGCGGAGGCGGAGCGGAGCCCAAAGAAGGCTGCAGGGACACCTAGGGCTGGGTTTGAAGTAATCCCCCCCAGAAGAGGGGCTTTTTTAAAACGCCAGGGGACACGGGACAGAGTGTTAAGAATCGCGGCTGTCCCGCCAAGGGCGGAACATCTGGACACCTTGGCACCGGTTCCCATTCATCCCCTTGCTTCTGAATACTAGAGAAGAACTGCCCATAGCCGGGGAAATTGTAGGGGGAATTTGCCTTCTGGAAACAAGGGATTGGAGCCAGAAGACATAGTCCTGGAGCCAGCTAGAGCCATAGAGAAAGAAGGCCAGAGCAACCAAAAAGACTGGGCGGTCAAACCGGAAACACTGACACCTAAGAGCCGAATTACAAACTGCCTTTTTTTTTTTTTTTCTTCTTTTTCTTTTTTTTTTTTTTCTTCTTTTTTCTTTTTTTTTTTTTCTTTCTTTTTTCTTTTAATTAATCAAAAATAAACGGACACAAATAACTAAGATATAACCTGCTTAAAATTAAGGTTTACCTTACAAAACTGAGGTGCAGTGGAATGCTGGGGACTGCAAGACTGTCTGGTCCGAGAATCAGGAGGGCCAAATACATTAACAGAGGAAGTGAATGACCACTACTGGACATTTTTATGCTAATTTTACTATTCTTTATTTTATTTTCATTTTTTACATCTTTTATTTAATTTTCACTTTTTATAGCATTTACTTAAGAAAAATTTTTTCTATTTTTTTCCTTACTTCATTTTACCTTTTCAATTATTACATTTTTCAATCTCTATCATCACTATTACTACTGCTATTTTGCAATTTTTGTTTCTTTCCTTTTTTTTTTTTTTTTTTTTGTTCTTTGTTTTTTCTTGTTTGTTTGTTTGTTTGTCTGTTTGTTTCCTCTCCAGTACCATTTTATTTTATTTTTTTCTGTATTTTACATTGGGAATAACCTCCATTCTATTTTAATCACTACTATAGCATCATTCAACCCTATCTCAACTTGACCTTTACACCATCACTCTCTTACTAAACTTTACCCTTTTAGTCGATGGTTTATCCTATCCCTTTCCGGCTCTAGATTTTCCTCTATTCT